TGGATTCAATTTGATTTTTTATAAATCTGTACTAATGAGGCTGATTTTCTTTTCTGTTAATATCTTTGCCAGGTTTTAGTATTAGGATTCTGCTTGCCTAATAAAACATATTGGAGAAGGCAGCAAATTACGCTGTCATGTGTATACCTATGCAACGATCTTGCATGTTCTTCACATGTTCCCCAAAACCTAAAATGCAATTTTAAAAAAAACTGAAAAAAACAAAAAAAAACCGTATTGGAAAATATTCCTTTTCTGTTTTCCTGAAAGTGTGAAAGATTGCCATTATTACTTCCTTAAATGTTGGACAGAACTTACCTGTAATGCCATTTGGACCTGGAGTTTTGTTTTTGTTTTTTAATTACAAGTGTATTTAATACATACAGTCTGTTTTTTTGGTGATTTTAATAAAAATTAAAACAAAAAATTTAAAATTACAGATTTTTAAATTTTATCTCAATTACTGAATTGATTTGTTTAATGTTCAGAACACTCTATTTGTAGGATCTGACTTTTTTTTTTTTTTTTTTTTTAAAGACAGGGTTTCACCATGTTGGTCAGGCTGGTCTTGAACTCCCAACCTCAGGTGATCCACCCACCTTGGCCCCCAAACTGCTTGGATTATAGGCATGAGCCGCCATGCCTGGCCTATCCCTGACATTTCTCATATTAGTAATTTGTGTTTTTAAGTTTTTCTTGATCAGTCTTGCTACAGTTTTATCAATTTTTTACCTTCTCAAAAAACCAACTTGTAGGGTTTTTTCAGTTATTCATATTTATTCCATTGATTATAATATTAAATATATTATCTTTAGTTTGTATCTATGATTTTACACTTTTGTTTTAAAATATAAGCAGTGTATAAATGCAGCTTTAGAGTCATTGAACAGATTTTGATGTCATATGTTTATTTCAGTTTCACTTATTTTCTAATTTCCATTGCATTTTCTTCTTTCACTGTAGGTCATTAACAGGCATGCTGTCAAATTCTGTATAAATTGATGGTTTCTAGTTTAATTCTGTAGTAGTGAAAGAACATACCCTTTAAGATTTCAGTATTTAGAAATGTGTTATGTAAAAACTGGTTCACCATTTGTTTCATCTGGAATAATATTTCATGAATATTTGAAAAAAAATGTACATTTGCCAATTGTTGGCTGTACTGTTCTATGAATGTCCATTTAGGACAAGCTAGTTATCACTGTTTTTCTTTCTTTCTTTTTTTCTTTTTGCTAGGGAATCCAGAAGCATATCACTGTTTTTCAATTATTCTGTTTCCTTATTGATTTTTAAAAATCTAGTTGTTCCATCTGTTATTGAGAGGAATGTTAATATCTTCAATGATATGTACATATTTTTCTGTTTCTCTTTTTAAGTTATGTTAGGTTTTGCTTCATTTATTTTGAAGCTCTCTTATTATTTGCATAACATTTATGATTCTGGCTAGGCATGGGAGCTCACACCTATAGTCCTAGCACTTTGAGAGACCACAGAAGGAGGATCACTTAAGCCTGGGAACACAAGACCAGCCTGGGCAAGCTAGCAAAACCCCATCTCTAAAACAATTAAAATTTTTTTTTTAATTATGATTCTGTCTTCCTGATGCATTGGCTCTTTTATGAAACTTCCCTTTTTATCTTTAGTTACATTCCTAGTCCTGAATTCTACTATTGCTAATATTTATATTGCTTAGTGTGGGTTTGCTTTTTATCTAGTTTACATCTTTTAATTTTTAACGTTTAGTTATTTTATGTTTAATGTAATTAATATGGTTGGGTTTAAGATCCCATTCGTTATGTGTTCTTCTTTTCCTACTTTCTTGCCTTCTTTGGGCTTAGCCAAATATTTTTTAGTAGGGTGCTGAAAATTCCTGTTAACTTTTTAGCTATACTTTTTTATATTTTCAAATACCTTTATGACCTTTTGAACACTACCCTTTTACAATTTTTAAGTGGCTGCTCTAAGAATTAAAATATGTATCCTTAATTTGTAAATGCATTTATAGTTAATGTTATAATACTTTATGTAAAATTTAAGAGCCTTGCAACAGTATAATTCCATTTATACCTTCCCATCCTTTGTGCTATTGTTGTAATATAACTAACATTTAATGTGTTGCAAATGCTATATTTTATATATTTTAATATATTTTATATAGTCAATTATGTCTTAAGAGAATAACAAATACATAGTCCTTTTTATTTACCCTCATATTTATTATTTCTGATACTTTTGCTTCTGTTTTGTAGATCTGACTTTATCTAGCATCATTTCCCTTTAGCCTGAAAAATTTTCTTTAGCATTTCTTATATATTAAACTTACAACAGATTACGTTTGGTAATGTTAAAGTGTTTTTAATTTTGCCTTCGGTTTTTTGACGGATATTTTTGCTGGATGTAAAATTGGTGGTTGATAGGTTTTTTTTCCCCCTTGCATCATTTTAGTGGAAGAAATTATTTCATTATCTTTTTTTGTTTGTTTGTTTGTTTGTAGAAAGTGATTTATTTAAAGAGAGAGAGAAACAGGAGAAGGAGAGAGAAAGAAACAGCTAACTCTCACATTGAGTGAGAGAATCCAGAAAGATGGAATCCAGGAGAGAAAAGCAGCTTCCACGAGAATGTTAGGGAGTATTTCATTATCTTCTTACCTCTGTTGTTACCAATGAGAAATCAGTTGCCATTTATATCTTTGTTTTCCTGTATGTGATGTGCTGCCTTGCCCAAGCTACTTTCAAATTTTTCTCTTAAAAATTTTTTTTAAGCAGTTTGACTCTACTTTGCCAGAGTTAGTTTCTCTGTATTTATTCTGAGTGGGATTTATTGAGACACTGGATCTGAAAGGGTTTTTTTTTTTTTTCCACCAGATTTTTGAAATTTTCACACATTATTTTTCCATAATACTATTTCTGCCCAGTGTCTTTCTCCTGTCATTCTGGGAATCCAGTTACATGCTTGATATTGCCAACGGATTACAGAAGGGGTGTGTGTGTGTGTCTCTGTGTGTGTGTGTGTGTGTGTGTGTGTGTGTGTGTGTATGTATTACATGCTTGGTATTGCCAACAGATTACAGAAGGGGTGTGTGTGTGTGTGTGTGTGTGTGTGTGTATTACATGCTTAGTATTGCCAACAGGGGTGTGTGTGTGTGTGTGTGTGTGTGTGTGTGTGTGTGGTTTCCCCAGATTACAGAAGGGATGTGTGTGTGGTTGCATGGTTTCTTTTCTCTCTGTTCTTCAGACTGGATACTATTTTCATTTCAAGTTCACTGACTTGTTTTTCTGCTGTCACAAATCTGTTAAGTCTGGCCAGTGAATCTTAAAACCTGTATTGAACTATCTAGCTCTTGAATTTCCATTTAATTATCAGTTTCTATTTGCTGCAAGCATTTCTCATATATATATATATATAATCTTTAAACATGTTTATAATAAATACTTTCACATCTTTGTTAGGTAATTCCAGCACCTAAATCATCTTCTGTTGTGTTTCTATTGACCACCTTTTCTCCTGATCTGAAGTTACATTTTCTACCTTCTTTGCCTGTTTATTAATTTTTTTGTTGTGTACTGGATGTTGTAGATGATATTGTGGATTGTTACCTCTTTTTGAAGAGTCTTGATTTACCTTCTAGCAGACAGGTAAATTACTGGCTGGCAAAAATACACTTAACTGTACAATCAGCAATTACAGTTCTAGGCATTGAAATGAAAACAAACATTTTTACAAAAACCTGTACACAAATATTCATAGCAGCTCTATTTGTAATTGCCAAAACCAAATAACCCAAATGCACTTTAAAGGACAAATGGTGAAAAAAACTGTGGTACCATTGTACCACGGAGCAATAAAAAGGAATGAACTGTTGATACATGCACGAAACTGGATGGATCTCAAGGGCATTATGCCGAGTGAAAAAAAGTCAACTTGAAAAGATCTGATCTTATGATGTATGATTCAATTTATGTAGTATTCTCAAAGTGACAAATTATAGAAATAGGGAACAGATTGCAGTTGTCAAGAGTTAAGGAAAGGGGAAGGTGGATATGATTATAAACAGCAAGAGAGAATTCATTTACCTGTGGTGATGGAGCAGTGAATCTCGATTGTGCTATAGTTATATGAATCTGCACATGTGCTAAAAGGTCATGGAATTTAAATGAAGACATAACAAAAAATTAGTGTGTGCAAAAACTGGCAAAATTCAAGTGAGGTCTGTAATCTAGTCAATTTTCAGCTTTCATTTAGCTCTGATATACATTCTCTAATGCCTCAAGCCAATAAGACTATGGTTTTCTCCTTTAAGGCTAGCCTCTCTGCACTTAATGGGAGTACTGGGAAGAGTTCCTTTACTGGGGAGTCTTATAAGTGTGTATCTAACCCAGTATCGTTCCTTTCTTTCAATGATCAGAACCTCTACAATTTGTCTGCCTTGGTCACTTTGCAATTTCTTCAAACAGTTGTTTTTTATATTTTGTCCAGAGTGTATAACTGTTATCTGTGAGCGACTTCGTTTAATATAATTTATCATTACTAGAACCAGAGCTTAACTATCATCATTTTGAAGTATTACAAATATAAAATGTTTGTAAACTTTTTCAATTAATTATTTGAAGGTAAAATATGATAGGAGTATTACATAAGTAAAGAATTATGTGATAATTGAAAATATGAAAAAAATCTGAATTTATAAGCAGGAAGAAGGATATATCTACAAATGCAGCCAGAAACAACTTTTAAGAGATGCATAAATGGATCTTTCAGAAGATTAAGGATAGAATGCAATTAAGCAACATTCGCAAATAGGAATATATACTTAATCACCAAAAAGGACTTCAGCTGTAAAATCAGATCTTTATCCATTGTCTTTTGAAAATATTTTTCCATTTAACTCTAAAAGTTGCATTTCTTTTATTTTTCTAGCATAACTGACCTTTATTATTTCTTGGAGAATAAAATGGCAGTCTAACTTCCCTTCTGCTTTTATTTTTGTCTTTCTATTTTAGTTTGTATATTTGGCCTTAAATGAGGTGAGAGTGAAGAGACTAGAGCCACCTCTGGAAAACGTCATTATCCCCATTCCCCAGGAAGCTACGCCCTGGAACACAAGATTTGACCATATCTGTTTTGAGGATTCATTATGAACAAAGAAGTCTCCCAGGTAGGAATTGTAGTTCTATTTTTAAAGAGCTTTGACTCTGTAAAAATATGGAGGGAAAATGATTACCTGTTGACTATTATCTTTTATGGAAATGTGTGTTTGATCTGGGATGCTTCAAGGTTAGTGTAAAACAGGTGCTGACATTCCTAAGTGAAAGTGATAGAAAGGTTCTAGTATACACTTTATGAGCCATTTTAGTGTATGTTGAAATCACTATAGGCCTCAGGCCTTATATCTTATGATGAGACCCTCAAAGTCCTTGCTGAATTGAAAATGGCAGCAGAAAAACTGTAGTAAATCATCCCCAAATTTGCTTCATACATTTTTAACATATATCCAGTGGAAATTACATAATATATACCTACATAATTATAGATATACCTGTATAATATATAGGTAATTATAACCTATGTAATTTATGTATATATAGTGTCCATATGGGCATTTTTACATTGTTGCTGTTTCAGAGTTTGTGAACTAGCTGTGAATAAAACCAGTGTATCCATGAACATACTAATAGGAGCAGTAGAAAAATAAACACGCACCAAGCCAGGACAGGAGATAAAGATATGAAGAGTAATCAGAAACTGATAAATCAGTAAGGGGAAACTTCTAGGAGAAAATTTGCTAATTAATAGACTTTTAATTGAATTATACATAGATAAAAATTAAAAAAAAAAATTAAAAATTAGGAGGGGCGCCAAGATGGCCGAGAGGAGACAACACTGGAATGCAGCTCCCAACAAATGAGATGCAGAGGGCTAGAAGACCTCACAAGTCCAAGTGAGGTGCCGGGTTCATTTTGGGGGGACTGGAAGGACTCTGAAAGTAGCCCAGGGAGGGAGCCAAAGCAGGGTGAGAGCCGCCCAGGCAGAACAAACCAAGATAGGGTAGGGCGAGTCCCCACCTGAAACAGCCAGCTGGGAGGGTTGGGGGACTTTACCCCCGTGGTGCTCTGATTCGGATCCTGTGCTGATGTCATCCCTCCTGCAAGCCACGGCCCACAAGAGCCCTGCCAGACTGAGGGGCGCTGTGGGTTGTTGATGCAAATTTGAGCCACCACTCCCACCTGGTGCCATAAGTTGTCAGCCAGACCAGGGCAGAAGTTTGGACTAGCACCAGCAGGACAGAACAACATATCCCACAGAAAGAGGCAGAGTTGAAAGCAGGGAAACAGGTCATAAGGCCTGGCAAGCCCCACCCCCAACAAAACTCAAACTGAAGCCCGAGTGCCAGAGAACTTGGCAAGGAATATAGCCGTTTGACTCCAACTAGGAAGATTGTGCTCAGGGAAGGAGAGATGCCATTGGGAAGGTGGGGCTAATTTCACCTGCAAACAAACCCCAGGGGAAGACCACCCACCCAATCAACCTGATTGAATCTGAGGCAGCCTAGCAGCACCTCTACAGGCCAAAAAAGATATAGCTTCAACCACAACAGAAAGGACATCCACCCAGAGATATCTCCCAAAATCACCAACTTCAAAAATCAAAGGGAGATTAATCCACGAAGATGGGAAAAAAACAGCGCAAAAAGGATGAAACCTTCAAAGATCAGAACACCTCCTCCCCTCCCAGGGATCACAACTCCTCACCATCAAGGGAACAAAACAAGACAGAAAATGAGTGTGATTAATTGACAGAAGCAGGCTTCAGAAGACGGATAATGACAAACTTCTCTGAGTTAAAAGACCATGTTCTAACCCAATGCAAAGAACCTTGAAAAAAGATTAGACGAAATGCTAACTAGAATAACCAGCTTAGAGAAGAACATAAATGACTTGATGAAGCTGAAAAACACAGCACGAGAACTTCATGAGGCATGCACAGGTTTCACCAGCCAAATCAATCAAGCAGAAGAAAGGATATCAGAGATAGAAGAGCAAATCAATGAAATAAAACGAGAAGGCAAGATTAGAGACAAAAGAGTGAAAATAATGAGCAAAACCTCCAAGAATTATCTGAAAAGACCTAATCTACGCTTGACAGTCATACCTGAATGTGATGAGGAGAATGAATCCAAGTTGGAAAACACCCTTCAGGACATTATCCAAGAGAACTTCCCAACCTAACAAGGCAGGCCAACATTCAAATTTAGGAAATACAGAGAGCACCACAAAGATATTCCTCAAGAAGAGCAACCCCAAGGCACATAATAGTCAGATTCACCAGGGTTGAAATGAAGGAAAAAATCCTAAGGGCAGCCACAGAAAAAGGTCGAGTCACCCACAAAGGAAAGACCATCAGACTCACAGCAGATCTCTTGGCAGAACCTCTACAAGCTAGAATGGAGTGGGGGCCAATATTCAACATCCCTAAAGAAAAGAACTTTCAACCCAGAATTTTGTATTTGGCCAAATTAAGCTTCATAGGTGAAGGAGGAATAAAATCCTTTACGGAAAAGCAATTGCTGAGAGATTTCATCACTACAAGACCTGCCTTACAAGAACTCTTGAAGGAAGTACTAAACATGGACAGGAACAACCAGTACCAGCCACTACAAAAACGTACCAAATGGTAACAACATAGAAAGGAACAACCAGTACCAGCCACTCCAAAAATGTACCAAATGGTAAAGAGCATTGACACAATGAAGAAACTGTGCCAACTAAGGGGCAAAACAACCAGCTAGCATCAAAATGGCAGGATCAAAGTCACACATAATAATATTAACCTTAAATGTAAATGGGCTAAATGACCCAATTAAAAGACACAGACTGGCAAATTGGATAAAAAGTCAAAACTCATTGGTGTGCTGTATCCAGGAAATCCATCTAACATGCAAGGATACACATAGGCTCAAAATAAAGGGATGGAAGAAGATTTACCAAGAAAATGGAGAGCTAAAAAAAAAGGAAGAGTTGCAATCCTAGTAGAAGGGCATTATATAATGGTAAAAGGATCAATGCAACAAGGAGAGCTAATCATCCTAAATATATACGCACCCAATACAGGAGCACCCAGATACATAAACAAGTTCTTAACGACCTACAAAGAGACTTAGACTCCCACACAATACTAGTGAGAGATTTTAACACTCCACTGTCAATATGAGATCAATGAGACAGAAAATTAACAAGGGTATCCAGGACTTGAACTCAGATCTACACCAAGCAAACCTAATAGACATCTACAGAACTCTCTAACCCAAATCCACAGAATATGCATTCTTTTCAGAACCACATCACACCTACTCTAAAATTGACCACGTAATTGGAAGTAAATCACTCCTCAGCAAATGCAAAAGAACAGAAATCATAACAAACAGTCGCTCACACCACAGTGCAATCAAATTAGAACTCACGATTAAGAAACTCACTCAGAACCGCTCAACTTCATGGAAACTGAACAACTGGCTATTGAATGCTGACTGGATAAACAATGAAATGAAGGCAGAAATAAAGATGTTCTTCAAAACCAATGAGAATGAAGACACAATATACCAGAATCTCTAGGACACATTCAAAACAGTGTCTAGAGGAAAATTTATAGCAATAAATGCCCACATGAGAAGCAAGGAAAGATCTAAAATCGACACCGTATCAAAATTGAAAGAGCTAGAGGAGCAAGATCAAAAAAAAAACTCAAAAGCTAGCAGAAGACAAGAAATAACTAAGATCAGAGCAGAACTGAAGGAGATAGAGACACAAAAAATCCTTAAAAAAAAATCAATAAATCCAGGAGCTGGTTTTTCAAAAAGATCAACAAAATAGACCACTAGCCACATTAATAAAAAAGAAAAGAGAGAAGAATCAAATAGATGCAATAAAAAATAATAGAGGGAATATCACCACCGATTCCACAGAAATACAAACTACCATCAGAGATTACTACAAACAACTCTATGTACATAAACCAGTAAACCTGGAAGAAATGCATAAATTCCTGGACACTTGCACCCTCCCAAGCCTAAACCAGGAAGAAGTTGAAACCCTGAATAGACGAATAACAAGGTCTGAAGTTGAGGCAGCAATTAAGAGCCTACCACACAAAAAAAGCCCAGGTCCAGATGGGTTCCCAGCCGAATTCTACCAGACATGCAAAGAGGAGCTGGTACCATTTCTTCTGAAACTATTCCAAATAATCCAAAAAGAGGGAATCCTTCCCAAATCATTTTGTGAGACCAACATCATCCTGATACCAAAACCTGGCAGAGACTCAACAAGAAAAGAAAACTTCAGGCCAATATCCATGATGGACATAAATGCAAAAATCTTCAGTGAAATGCTGGCAAGCCAATTGCAACAGCACATCAAAAAGCTTATCCACCATGATCAAGTAGGATTCATCCCAGGGATGCAAGGCTGGTTCAAAATACGCAAGTCTATAAACGTAATTCACCACATAAACGGAACCAAAGACAAAAACCACGTGATTATTCAATTGATGCAGAGAAGGCCTTTGACAAAATTCAACAGCACTTTATGCTAAAAACTCTCAATAAACTAGGTATCGACGGAACGTTTCTCAAAATAATAAAAGCTATTTACGACAGACCAACAGCCAATATCATACTGAATGGGCAAAAACTGGAAGCATTCCCTTTGAAATCTGGCACTAGACAAGGATGCTCTCTCTCACCACTCCTATTCAGTATAGTAGTGGAAGTTTTAGCTACAGCCGTCAGGCAAGAAAAAAGAATAAAGGGTATTCATTTAGGAAAGGAGGAAGTCAAATTGTCTCTATATGATTATATATTTATAAGACCCCATTGTCTTAGCCCAAAATCTCCTGAAACTGGTAAGCAACTTCAGCAAAGTCTCAGGAAACAAAATCAATGTGCAAAAATCACATGCATTCCTATTCACCAATAACAGACGTAAAGAGAGCCAAGTCAAGAACGAACTGCAATTCACAATTGCTACAAGAGAATAAAATACCTAGGAATACAACTAACAA